GCTCTGGCGTCCTAAGGTAGCTGCTTGGGTAGAGACCAGGGGGGCGCAAAAAAAAAGGGTGGTGTCCTCTGTAAGCGATGGCGAATTAACAATAAAGCCCACTCTTGTACCCTCAGCGCTTCCCGGTTATACCGCCGCACACATTCTGACCTTTTCTACACAGATAACTTCAAATGCACTTTTCAGGTCCTCAATGATTTTAGGATGAATTTAAAATTTTTGTTGCCCCAACAATTTTTTTTCCAGTCCTAGGATCCGTGAGCCCTAATCCCAAAGAAACTTCTGCCTGAAAGAGAAAAATGCCCCAGACGTGAAACCAGCCTTGGACAATTTTCCGACTTCTAGGAAAACTGAGCACAGACCTCCAAGGTGCCGGCTTCCAGTGGTGAACTGCCCAGGACTCCGGTAGCGGTGACTTGAGCGCATCCTCCTGAGGCACCCGCGCTTGCGGATTTTGACCGCACTCCTTGGGAGTCGACTGTCTCGTAATAACTGAGCGGAAGTAGAGGGGTAGTGAAGACTAGGAACCTTTCGATCTCCTCTGTGACGACGAAATTTTCTCGAGGAGACTAAAGAGCCTGGAGGAAGATACCTGGCGGAGACCCTTGCTGCTTTGAGAAACGCAAAGTCGCTGCTGAGAGATTTCCTCTGGGAGTCCGCTTGCAGCGAAAACACAGCGCTCTGCAGGGACCCCAACTAAAAGCAGGGGGCCCAGCCAGGGTCGGAAACAACCCTGAGGATGTCAGCGATGAGTCAAGAAGCGGGGCGCATAGGAGGAAACAGACTTCTTTCCCCAAGCAGACCGAAGCCTCCAGGTTCCCCGAGCGACTGCAGCTTCGGACTGCAGCGCTTGCTCCGCTAGGGAAGGAGGCGGTGCCGGCTAGGCTCCGCACCAGCCGCGCCCACCAGCCCGCGAAATATTTTGTTCTCAAAGCCACAACTGGGACCCTCTGTCCTCCCTACATATCTCTTCGTTGGTACAATACGTATGTACGTCGACCTTTAAAAAGCAGAATAATTCTCACCCCCCCCCAATCTAACCAGCGTTTACTCTCAAATACCCTGATTGGCGAAAGACTTGGGAGGTTGAATTCTCCTGTCCGGCCACTGCCCACCTTTAGTTTTCTTTCAGCGTGTCTCTAGAAATCTCGTAACCCCAGCCCCAGGGACAAACGTAAGCTGGGTCTTATCGTCTTATCATGTTGGTTGGCTATCCTAGACCCAGCTACACAACCTTTTAAATCACGTATCGGAATAATTTAGGCGTAAACCCAAACTCGCCTCTCTTCTCTTCAACCGGGAGCCCAGGGTTCGAAGTAAACGCCGAATTCGGTCCGTAAAGACCGCAGGCGAGCTGCCTCCTCCCACCCCTCACTAAGCTCCAAACCATACAAGGCACACTCCGCACTCAGAATCTTTTCTCCCTTTCTCTTGCAAGGTCCCTCGTTTAAACAGTGTCGGCGCCTTTATTCGCCTGACTCTGCGCGCAGGAAAACCCGCCCGGTCGGTCATTGTCTGGTCTGCCACCGCCCCCGCCCCCGCCCCAATCAGTGTCACAAAACGCCCCTTTCAACAGATTCCAAACCCTCTTCACCCGGGCGCACCGAGCCTTCAACTTCATTAAGTGAGCGCTAAGGCGACGCCGGAGGAGGCGAAGTTTAAATAAACCCGAACGGAGAGGGAGGAGGGGTGGGCCTGGGGAGGGTTGCTAGTTGAAGGGGGGGAGATAGAAGTGTTTTTGAAAAGGGGAAAAAAGTCATCAGGGGGAAAAGCGCTTTGTAGCCACGAAGACGCGCCCGCTGTGGCGAGAACAAATTGGATATGGAGGGGAAGTGTCCGCTCCCCCCGCCCCAACTCCGGCTCCTGGGTGGTCTGGGGAGCCCCTGGAGAAAGGGGGGGGAAAGATGGAGAGGAATAGGCGGTGAAAAGAATTAACCGCTTTAATTGGGCTGCAAGAGAGAGAAGTGCGGGGAGGCTTGCGGATGGGCCTCGATCATCCAAGCCAAATACTCTTCGATAAAATAGAATGTCAGCCCTTAGCGGTGGCTGAAAAACGCATGTCCAAGTTGGAGAATCAAGGTTGTTCTTCACAACCATAGTAAGTAAGTCTGCAAGATGGGGAAAATCCTGCCCGGAAAGACCCCCTCCCCCTCCTTCTCCTGGTGGCCTTGGGCCTCTCGGCCCCGGATGAAAAGGAATGAAATTGAACGAAATTGAACGAAATGAAGTGAAATTGACCAGTGAAATTCGCCAATTTTCTTCCCCTTTAAACTTCCCGCTCTCAGCAGCACTCACTGAACCCTAGGCGGATTTCTTATCATTTTTTTTCTCACCTCGGAGAGATGAAGGTGTGCCCTGGATATTTTCTTATTATTGTCACCAATTGCTGAGGCCTGTGTACGACAGAACCTCACGTGCCTCCACCTAGGCAAGGAGGGAACCCACAGGAGCTGTTCCCTAAGGGATGGCCAGTTTCTCCTCCCAGGAGGCTGAGCCCCTAAGTGAGACAACACCCACCTTATGCAGCCACCGATTAGAAGGGGGTCACCAACTGAGCCTCCTCCACAGTCTGGAAGCAGCGGAAAGCCTAGAGGTTTCTACCATATAAATCCTGTAATTCATTCATCCTTCCTACACTCCAGGTCCCAACTCACAAGTTACCCACAAAACAATCTAAAATGGTCCAGAATTCCAAATACCTTCCCTCCTCCCTGCCTTCAGCATGTGGAATCTTGTGGGCTCTCTTAGTAATTCTCTTCTGGGTAGTTTTCATGGCCAGTTGGGCATTAGTGGTTTCTCTCTGGCCCCCAACCTCAACTATAATTGTAATCTGGCCCAGGCCTGACCTTTCTGACCCTCTATAAAAGGAGGGTCTGAGTCCTGGGTCTGGGAGTCACTCATGCACCACACTCCTTCAATTCCTGTATTTCTGCCCTTTTCCTGACAGGAACCTTCTACACACAGAGATATCAAGCAATAGCCTCAAAAAAAAAAAAAAAAAAAAGATTCCCCCCCCCACTACCTCTCCCCCACTCTCTTACATATGCTGGAGTGTATACACACACACACACACACACACACACACACACTTGACAGACACATCAAAAATCTGCTGCTTCTCCTGTAAACAGCACTTACGGAAGTGTTTCATCTATCTATCCACCATCAGATATGAATTCTGCCTGACTTAATTTCTCTTTTCAAGAATGGAAAAACCAACTGAGAAGTCTTTTACTTAAAACCCCCCAAATTAATATCTGGGCGTGACCTTTTCATGATCAATGAGATCACATAGCTGCAAAGGGCTTTATTGAGAGCAAACACACTGGGTGGGCATGCATGCACACACATACAGTCACATGTACCCTTCCTCAAGTAAAAAGAAATGAAAACAAACTCAGAGCAGTGGAAGTCAACAAAGCAGCCAGAGACCATTATCCCAGTATTAGCAGACATTTCCCAGTTTTTACCATTGAAACTAAGCTTACTTTGCCTGTATCATTTGATAAAATGGTAGAAAGGTGGCCCACTGTATCCAACTCCCCCTACCACCACCACTACTCCCTTAGACTCTCAGCAAGATGGAGAGAGGGGTTCTGCCTCATCTCTGGCAGAGAACTTGCATTTATCACATATACCTACAGACTTGTCTCTCCTCCCTTGTGAAGAGGATGAGAGACTTAGGAATCCCAACAACCCTTCCAAAACTCTGATATTCTCCCCAGTCTTATCCTGATTCACACCTTATTCTGATTCTATAGCAGCCTCTGCCCTCTAATATCTTCTTCCTTCCTACTATTGCCAGTTGCTGGGATCCTAGCTGAAGAAGCCTTCATACTTCTCTCTGCCCACACCCTCAAGTTCTCTGCATCTGGGTCTCTGACCCTGTTTCTTCCTTTTCAGTCACTTGTCTCCTAACCCTTGCCCTCAAAATTGTGTGTGTGTGTGTGTGTGTGTGTGTGTGTGTGTGTTTTATGAAGGCTGAACTGTCTCTTCGTGTATTTCCATATTTCTTCTCTCCTATGATCTCAGTGTAACACACGGAGAAAAAAGCGCAACAACTATCTCTGCTTCTTCCAAAGCATCACCTCACCCAACGCATTTGCACATCTGACTACAGGTAGTACCAAACACATGTAAAGAGCTGAGGGCTCGGTAAGCTGTGGGAGATTCCAATCAGACCAATGGATTTGCACTCAGGTAGTAGCTTCCAGCTATGAGCGTGGTTCAAGGAACCAGGAGTTTTGCCCTAGCAGACAGATCCCATTAACTCTCCTTTATCTCACAGTACACCTCTAGCCCTCTCAGGTGGAAAGAGAGTGAAGTTTCAGTCTCTAATTCATACCTCCCATTCTGTTACCTATGTCAGGAGGGGCCAATTCCTAAAGGCCCTACAATGGCCAAAGAGAAACCTCTCTCCTCTCAGAGAGTGTAACCCAGAGACAAATGTTCTCGGACAACACACACCTAGAGACAAATGTTCATGGACAAATGTAGAAATAAAAATACATATATTCTGAAAAATAATATACATACACACAAACCCAAACACAAAACAATCCAAGCTCCATAAAAGCCCCTGCACACATCTATACAGAGGCACACAGAATGTGCATCAAGAGACTTATTTGCCCTGTACTCAGTGGATACATTGTTCAAGAGCACTTAGCACCCAGATCTACCCAGGCTATGCTAAAACTAAACAAGAAGGAGGTAAGACTCCTCAGGTGCATTTGAAACAGAATCCATGTACCCAATTCCATGGTGAAAACCTTCCTAGTACCAGAGTGAAAATGAAAGTGCTGGAGGGGTCACTGGCTTCCCAGAGACCTGGCCCCATTAGCAGCTGAAGGCAAACGTCACAGTGCCCCCAGTATCTGATAAGCCCAAACCCTCCTCTGCCTGCCTGGCCCTTCCTCACTCTCCTTCTGCTGGGGAGCTTGAGGTCTTCTAGGTGAGCCCCCAACAAGGACAAGGGAGTGCAGGCAAGCAGACGGAGCTGGTGACTGCTGAAGTTCGCATATATTTATTCAATTGACACCAGTGGGAAGGGAGGAAAGAGACAGATTTTTCTTTTCTTCCACACAAACCATCAGACAATTTCACAGAGTCTTCCCTAAGAAGAGGTTTCTAAATCAATGCACACCAGTGGACAGAGAACAGAGAGCAGCCTGCTGTACAGATATTTACACATAATTACAGGACCCCCTGACACAGCTCGGTGCCCTTGCCCACCCCACCCCCACCTTTCCAGTCCCTGACCCAGACCCTCCTCTCCCACCCGACCTCATTGCCTTTAACTACAATAAATACCCCAGGGCCTGGGGCTGAGCTGGAGGCTGAGAGGGTTGCTGGCCCTGGATGGCTGGCCCCAGCCGGCTAGGGGAAAGGGAAGAAGTTCCTTGAAAAGCACCCAAACATGAAAGAGAAAGGATTTTCCTCATGGAGTGGGATCTGGGGTTTCTGCAAAGATTGTGGAGATCCGCTGCTTCACCTCTCGGTTCAGCTTCGCCTGTGTAGATACTGCGCTAGGCTTCAGAGGGAACGAACTTCCTTGGAGAACAGGAAAACAAAAAACTTTGAATTTTTCTTTTAAGCACAAGCGGATAATAGATGTTGTTAAATTATAATATTGGACAAGCAGGGTCGCAAAGTTGAGGAAGGAAGAAAGGGAGACCTCTCAGCGCCCTTGGTGTTTCTGGTGGGATCCGCAGGGCCTGGGCAGGCACGTCTCCGGGAAGGCATTCTTCCGGGGTTGCGGAGCGGACTCAGGCAGGGAAAAACCGAAGGTTTCCCACTCCCTCGTTTGCTGCTCAAACAGGAATGGGATCTTGGCTTGGGACCACTTAGCTTAAACCCAGGCCTCGCCCTGAGCGATGGAGCCCGCTTCGTCCCAACTCTCAGCGAGATTCTGAGCGTGGAACCTGAAGTGCCAAGTCACGCGCGCCGGCCCAGGTTGGAGACTCTTCATAAATAGACTCCCTGAGTTCCGCTGGGACCGCAGGAGCTCCCGGGAGAAGCTGTGTGCGGGCCTAACTGACCCTGAGCCCGCTGTGGTCAGAAGTGGCAGCCACTGAGGCCGGCGACTTTGCCGGCAAACGGAGGCCCTGTAGACAGGAGCGCGTCCCCAGGGTGCGAGAGGCGGATGTGACCGGCCACCGGAGCCAGGGCCGGGGCAGTTAGCATGGCCAAGACCTGGGCTTGACCCCCAGGTCCCGCAGCTGCCGTGAACGGCGATCCCGGGGACCCCTCGCCGCTGCCTGGGGGTGCTCCCCCGCCACCACCATGGCCCATGATGTGGTCTATAGAGAAGGAAGGCCTCTGCCCAGGGCCTGCGCCCCCGCCGCCCGCACCACCTCCCGCGTCAGTCTTGAGGCCCTGGCGCAGGAGTGCGGTGGACAGACCGGCCGCTGTGCCAGCTGCGGGAGGGCTCAGGGACGCGGGGTAGAAAGCTTTGGCGCAGCTCAACTCCGCGCCTAGGAAGGCGGGCAGGCCGGAGGGGCCCGGGCCCGACCCTGGGGCAGGCGCAGGGGCCGGAGCCGAGGCTGCGCCAGCGAACACGGAGGCCGTCGGAGGTCCGGGTGGAGGTGCAGCGGCGCGGCCTGGGGGAACCGACAGCTGGCAAGGCGCTGCTGCGGCAGCGGCGGCGAAAGCGAAGGCGTGCGGGTGTGGATGCGGGTGCGGGGCCGGCCCTGGTGGGGGTGCGCCATAGGCCGGGAGGGCCAGCCCGTAGCCATAGCCGTAGGCGCCGTAAGCGGCGAAGCCGGGCAGGAAGGCGCCGGGATCCCCGGCCGCTGCAGCCCCGCCACGCAACAGCAGCTCTGGGTGAGGGTGCGGGTGTGGATGTGGTGGCGGTAACGGCTGCCGCTTGAGGTGCAGCCGGTCCTTCTCCTCCTTGTCCTTCACCGCGTCGTTTTTCTTGAAGCGCTTGCGGCGCCGCAGGAAGCTGCCGTTGTCGAACATGTCGGCCGACTCCGGGTCAAGCGTCCAATAGTTGCCCTTGCCCGGGTTGCCCGGTTCGCGGGGGATCTTGACGAAGCAGTCGTTGAGCGAGAGGTTGTGGCGGATGCTGTTCTGCCAGGCGGGGAACTTCTCCCGGTAGTAGGGGAAGCGGCCGCTGATGAACTCGCAGATCTCGCTCAGCGTCAGGCGCTTCTTGGGGCTCTGCAGGATGGCCATGGTGATGAGCGCGATGTATGAGTAGGGTGGCTTTACCAAAGGGCTCCGCGTCGCCGCGCCCCCCGACGGTGGTCCGGGCCCCGGCCCCGCCGCGCCCCGGGCCGTTGCCTCTCCTGTCCCTTGGCGCCCCGCTGAGGCCGCCGCCCCCCGGGGCGCTAGAGCGCGAGGCTCGCCGTCAGAGCTGCCACCCGACTCCTCCTCGTCTTCTGCTACGTCTGCCTCGGCTTCCTCCGGAGGAGGCTCGTGGCCGTGAGGGAGCACGTCCCGGGGGGCGCGGGGCCCGGAGCGGGCTGGGAGCTCCCCCCCACCGCTGCCGCCGCCCACCACGTCTATGTCTGCGTCGGCCTCGGACAGTGCGGCCGGGGAGCTCTCGGAGGACATGATCTCGCAGCAGCAGCTGCCCAGGGTCATGGTGCCGCCGCCACCGCCGCCGCGATCTCGGGCTCCGCTCCGGCCGCGGCTCCGGCTCGGCCGCGCTGCCTCTGGGGCGAGTGTGTTTTGCGCGCGGGCGGGGAGGGGGCGGACTGAAGCGGACAGGGAGGGGTGTCCCCCAGCTTCGCAGCGCCCCCTGGTGGCCTAACTCAGCCGGTCTCATCCTGCAGGGCGCACCCAACTGGCCGCTCCCTCTGCTGCCCCGGGAGCCGGAACCGGGACCTACACCCACCGCGCAGGCGGAAGGAGCTGAGCCACCCCTCACCTTGGCGGGTGTCCGTCCCTACTCCCCCAGGGGTGGAAGTCGGGGTTCTCCTAAGCCGCTGCCTAAGGCGGAAGAGCCGCGGGCTTGGGGCGGAGCTCTCTGGGTGGGGCGGGGCGGGAGGGGACCCGCGGAGTGCCTTCACGCAGGGGCCCGGCGGGAACAAACCGCCGCCGCGGCGGGAGCTGGGTTCGCGTGGCTGGAGGCGGGTCCTCCCCTTCCCACTGTTCCCGCAAGTCCTCGGCTCCCGGGAACCTCTGCCTTCAGGGCGCTCAGTTCTTGGAAGTCAAGGCGGGCTCCAGCCAGAGCTGGTAGAAGTGGTGGCAGCCCCCGCCCATCATCTCCCCAAAGCAGCGCCCGGAGCCACCAGGGCCGAAGCGCCGTTGGATCGCGAGCGGGAGCCTGAGACGTCCAGACCAGCGGAGCCTTGCAGGGCCCGCCGGAGCCCAAGCGGCTTCCGGCCCAAGGGGGTGAGTGATCTCGAGGAGGAAACCGGGCGTTCGCATCCTCGCGCCTCCGAGAGGTGAGAAATTCTGTCTGCTCCTCTTTCCTTCTCCTTCCCTTCAAGGCCTTCGCGGGGGGAGACCCAGGGAGTGCGCCGCCTGTTCGTGATCCCTCCCTAAAATTTCTCTGCTGTGGCCGTATTCCTGGGGCTCCGACGGTCTGTGACTCCGGGTTTGCCTGTACTGTGACTGCTTTCGGTCTCAGCTTCCGTTTGTTAGTCTCTGTGTCCCTCTTCCTCGGTCAATCTCTCACCGTTTCCTATGGAAGCTGCGTTTGTCTGAGTGTCTGTGGGTCTGGAAATCCCTCTCAGCTCCCCTCTCCCTTACCCGCAATCACACTGAGGGCTACCTCCCCACTGCCCCTATGACCACTGGACAGGTAGGTAGCAGGGCCCCCTTGGAGACCTCCCTCAGCGAATCCTGACCTCATCCCCGGCACGTGTTGCCTTTCTCTCTAGGGATCTGGTGCACCTAAGTTTGGTTTAGCAGCTTTTTCAGCTATCTGGATTCCTGCCTATCCCATTAGGCCTCTTTCTCTTCTCGACTTTCTCCAGGATTCTGAATAAAGTCCGCTCCAGCTCCGATTGGGCTCATTTCAACCTCTGGGCGGTAGAAGGGGAATGGGCACCGGACGTGGGCAAGAGCTGACCGCTGCCCTCACAGCGCCGCACAGTGGCCAAAGGTTGAGCATTGGCGGCCTGAGTCCAACTGCTAGCCGCTATTAAAAGGCGGTGTGACCCTTTTTGGGTAATTTCCTCTTCCGAGCCTAAATTTCCTGGTCTGCATAGCAGACCTTAGAATGAGGCTGCTGGGGGCTCCAGTTGTGGCTTCACTACTTAGCAACTGTCACTTACAAAAGTTTCTTAAACTATTTAATTGTCTCCTCCTCTGTAAAAATTAAATTAAAAATACCTACTTCATGACTGGTATGTAAAAATAACCATATTCCGGACTGTTTATGGGGAGGGTACTGAAAGCATGTTAAAGAATCATGGGACCCTGTTCTTTGGGAGATAAAGGAGTTAGGGGTAATGTAGTCTCTCACCTGGATCCCTAGCCCTGGCCCATCCCCAGACTGCTCATTGGTACCATCTCCAGTCACTGTGCTGAATTCAGTCCTCTGTAGCTAAGGTAGGAGCAGGGTGTGAGGGATTTTGCAGTCTAGTGGGCTGGTTCTTAGGAGGGTGAACGAATTATCTCCTATTAAACAGTAGCATCCAATGACTGGAAGGGTTTAGTGTAAACCCAACTCCCTCACTCCACAGATGGGGCTACAGAGGCCCAGAGAAGGGTGAGAGGATTTGCCCAGGCTTCCGCAATAAGATAGAGCAGGACTGGTTTGCAATCCCTATCATGGAACCCTCACAATAGAGTTTTTGAGCTTCCTGAGCTAAGAGCAGAAGACAGTGGGAGACAGAGCTGCTTATATCCGGTGAGAACAAGTCATCTGGGACCTCTGACCAAAGAGATGTACTTGTTGTGCTGGGTCTACATAAACAGAACATTCTTGGAGAAAGAAGAAGTCCAATCCTCAAGTCAGGGAAGTAAGTTGGACAAGGACTAGTGGCCCCAGAATTTGAATTTCCTGGGTAGTCCAGCCCTACAAACAAACAAGCAAACAAAAGGAGTTTTGAAGAGACATTTCTTAACATAAGTCTAGATAAATTCACATAGCTAGGGTTGCTAGATTTAGCAGCTTTATTTTATCTGGCAACCCTGCACATACTTCAAACTTGCTCTCTACTACACGGAGATTGATATCTCTCTCTCTCCCCCCCGCCGTGTGCACTCCCCCCATCCCTCTTCCAGGACCCTACCCACAGATACTCTACACCATCAGCCACACACTAACTCCAACACAGCTCAGCTCTGTCTAAATAAATGGATAAAAAAAGAGACCCCACAGCATGACATCATCCTATTCCATTTCACCTTCTGAGTGTCTTCATTTCAAAAATTGGAAATCAGAATAGCTTCTTGCTTTGCCAGGACTCTCCTCATTCCCTAGGCTGTCAAGTTTCAGGGTAGAACTGGTTGAGGCATTTGCTGCCCACATCCCCTGATTCTAATGCTTCAAATAAGATGTTACCAGCCAGAATCATGGGACCCTGTTCTTTGGGAGATAAAGGGGTTAGGAGTAATGTAGTCTCTCTGCCTCTGCTGGGCTCTGCTGCACATCCACTTTGAAAAAGGGAGTATAAAAACCCCAGCCTTTGTTCTGTAGGATGGGGCACAACCTTAAGGAATCATCCAGACTCTTCACACACACACTTTTACAGTAGTGGAAACTGAGGCCCAGGAGAATATGTTATTTGTCAGGCTTTTGAGGGACCCTAAGTTGGGATGGACCCAGATGAATAGACTGCCAGCCCAGAACTCATGGATTTATCCAAATAACTGCTTCCCTGCAAGAGTACTGCCCTTGCTTGGGGAGGAGGTTTCTGGTAGCTTCATATCCCTTCGAACTGGGCCATTTTGTTTAAAACAATGCCTAGAGTAGGTGCATGGAGGTCAGGGAGAAGGGCCACTCAGTGGGCAACCCAGGGATTCAGGATTCGTTTTGTTTTCTTCCCTTCTCAGTGTCCCTGCCTTTTCTGCCTGTGCATTTAGCCTCTTCCACATCTGGCAGTGTATCTCAGCCTTGTTTGAGTTGGTTGTGCCCTCGCAAAAACCCGAACACCTTCACCTTCACCTACTGGTACCTAAGGCAGCCCACAGGCTCCGCAATTATTGGTTACAATATGTAGGTGGGTGGTTGGGTCCGTTTTCATCCTCCTCCTTCATCTACCACACTGCCTATCCTCCTTCCTTGAGCAATCCAGAAAGTTAAGAGAAAGCTTTCTGGGGAGAGGGTTTGCTTGTTCAGGATTCTGAACAAGTATACCCTCTCTCCAGAGGAGAAGTCGTTGCCTGTTTATTGCAAAGTATGTGTTACTTTCAATGGCTCCCAGGCCATCTGTCCCTTCCCTTCATACGGGTTTTGCAAACTAGCCATTCTCCTCCAATCAGGGAAAGTAAAGCCTTCCAGCGATTACAAGAATAGAATTAAGTTGCACTGCTGGAGGAGTTTGTTCAGAGACTCAGGCTGAACTATGGCAGGCGGCCCTGGGTGAGATCTTGCATACCACCCACCTGCCTGGGGCCTGCTCCTCTGCACCATGGGAAGGCCCATGGAGGCCTCAGTTGTACCCAGCATGACACCCACACAGTTCTCCAATTTCATTCAACAAACTCGCCAGCCTCAGGGAAAGCAGGGAGGCGGAGGCTAGCCCCTTCCCAGCTCCCTACAGGGTTGCAGCTCTGGAAGAAGGCATTGTTTGGCCACAGCTGGTCTCCCAATCCCTTTCTCCATCTGGATCTAAACCTGCTCTGAAAAGTTTGGCTCCCTTGGCTCTGGTTGGAGACTAGACACTCCAGATCATGTGACCCACAGGGGTGGAACTCAGGCAGCCAGCATTGGGGTGTCCCCCCCAGCCCAATTGCTCACCCCCAGGCACCTCTGTAGCCCCACAACTCAGCATGACAAAGTTCAGAGAGTACGAATTTCTGAATTTCTGTCTTCCTCTCCTTCCATTACTTCTGGCCACTGTCTGTACCCTGCTATCCCCATCTGGACTACGTGGTTGGGGGCTTGCTCTAGCAACCTGTGGCCCCAGTACTGTGAGGCTAAACTCCCATTTGTGGGAAGAGGGTTGCCAGCTCAGGAGGGGTTGAAAATAGTGCTGTTCCTGTACTGTGGTGAGCACTCGCTCAGCAGATTCTCAGAGTTAATGGAGAGCACCATGGTTTCACATGCTGGAGAGCAGAGTTTCGATGGGCCAAGGGAATGGGGGACCTTCCAAGTTTGTTGGAGTGGGAGCTCCAGTTCCTAGAATGCTCTGATAGGTTCCTAGGTCCCTGGATTCAGGTGTCAGTCCTGTATGTATGCCTTCTCTTAGGAAGATGGTGGATCTGTGGCTGAGTACGCCCCTAAATGAGGGTCCCCTATTGATCTCATGCTCTGTGTCTGCAGGGCCAGAGTGATCCAGGACCTCCCTGAAAGGTTGAGCATCCACCAAAGTGCAAGGCAGTGAGACCTGGTCCAAGAATGCAAGCCCACTTCAAACCAGCAGCAGGACCCTTGCAGGGAAGGAGGGTGTGCCAAGATGCTGGTCTGAGAAGGGATCTATGTTTAGGAGAGGTAGGAAAAAGTTCATAAAAGGATGGTGCTACTTGACAGCCAAGAAATCTGGCATCTGGCCTTCTTCCCACCAAATTACAGGCTACCTGCCAGTGGCACTTCAGAACTGATGCTCTTCGGAGGGTCCTGAATTGGAGCAGGGCAAGGGGGAGGGTGCCTAGCCATAAGGACCTGGTTCCTCTGAGTGGCACCATCACATTTAACCTTTCAGAATCCCAGAGTGACTGGTAAGACCGTACTTCCCTGCATAGGAGGGAAGATACAGTCCCCGTGTCCCGTGGGGTAAATGCAGAGCCACATCACCCTGGCAGAATTTGAGCCTAGATGGGGTGGTGCACCAGCCAGAGCCGCTGCCTAGCTAGTGGTGGATTCCTGGGGAACAGCGACCTCTGGAGGAACCTTGCATCCACACAAAGTCAGGAACTTCATAAGATTTGAAACCAAAGCACCACTTTGCCAGCTCACCTCCATCCATCCCTTTAGCAAAGTCACCCTGAGATTCAATCTTTGGACTCCACTCATTTCTCATTTGTTTCCTTTTCCAGTTTGTACCCAGGCTTCAAATTCCTGCTCAAATTCTGCCTCCTTTTTTGAAAGAAACCTCTATAACCCAGCCTGTCCCCACCTCTTCATGCTCTGAGCTCCTCAAAAAATCGAATGCCTGTACCCTCCATGCAGGCTTGCTCAGCACTGTGTAGCCCACCTGCTTCCTGCCTTGCCATTCTCCAAAGACACCGTTAATCCACTCCACCCACCCCTTGGTAGCAAGCTGGGTATGCTGTTTTCTCTTTCCCCACACATACTAGTAAATAAAGATTGAAGTCATTTGTCCCAAAATTG